GCAAGGTGGTCACCATCTTGGAAACAATTGGTGAGGCCAGAAGAGCAAGATTATGAAAGGGAAACAGGCTATGAAAATATGGCCTGTTCAAGTTTTTAGTCTGGACACATGATCATGTAGATAATCTCATGTTTTGGAGCAGAGGATTTGTGCATTTAAGAAATCTGTAAAGTCCCTATCTTCCTTAAATTCAGATCTCCACTTGGGCAGGCACTATTTTGCCCTAGGTACCAAAGGCTTCAAGAAAGAAACTAACATTTAATGAATGTTTTATTGATGTCATCTCTCTTTGTCATCCCAACAATCTTATGAGATAGGTATTATTAATAATCCCATTATAAGGGTGAGTGGGTGGCTCAATTAAGCAACTGACTCTTAATCTCAATTTAGATCTTGATCTCAAGGTCATAAGTTCAAGCCCCACATTAGGCTCCACAAAACAAAACAAAACAATGAAAACAACAAATAATCCCATTATACAGCTGAAAAAACTAAGGCTCAGAGAAGTTAAGTGACTTGTTCAAGGCTACAAAGCAAGTAAATGGCAGAAGAAGAGTCCTCCTTGCTCACTCGAGGTCACCACGCAGCCTCTATCACCCACACCTGTTCTGTTTCCCATGTTCTGTTAATGTCCTTAAAGACCTGAAACCTAAGCTTCAGCATGGTGGAGTGTGTTGGTTTTGGATCATCCTTTGCCTGTATGGCTTTTGGGCTCTTTGTGGGGAAAGGCAATTCCAAAAACTGATTATCATTTGGAAAAAAAAAAAAAAACACATCAATATTCTTTATATATTTAGCCATAACATCTAATTGGTTCTGTGAAGAAACAAAATGAGCTCCTATAACAGCCCTCTGTTCAACTGGAAAAAATTCTGAATTTCCTGCAAAGCCATTTGATACTCCTTCTTCATTTGAATGTTTTGGTGGGGCTATTGCTGCAGGAACATGGGAAAACCTAATTTTATCCTGAATAGCAGCTGGGGATTTCTGACCACCCTCAAAAAGTTTCCTCCAGAACCACTTGGGGTTCAGACTCCCACCCGAGGAATTCACCAGAGAACTGAAGATACTAGTTTTTATTGTCACTTTTGGAGTTTAAAAAATATGCCTATTTCCTTGATCACATATTCTCTTTTCTTTTGTTTTTCTTCTTCTTTCTGCCTCCTTCTTGCTTTTTCTCCACCTTGTCTTCCTCTTTCCATACCGCCCAACTTTCTTCTCTCATCTTCATCACGAAAGCTAATATTTAATAAGCAAAGACACAGATAATGACACCCCTATGGGAGATCAGCTTTCAGGGACACTTCAAAACATTAGCAAGCTCTAACTGCTCCTGCAAATACAGTTGACTATTTATTCAAACGTGCCAGCGCATCTATAGGGACTTGCATAAAAAAAGGGTCTCAGCTCTAAAATGAAGGTCTTCCTACTGAGCCTGCTGAGAACCCCTCGCAAGCGTTTGAGATAATGACACTCTGGGTTCGTGCATGTGATCTGCGTTTGTTTTTGCAAACCCATGTCTCTTCCCTCCCCTAGACGATTTCTCACATCAAAGTTGGAATGCGGCTTTCTTCACTATCACTTACTGTATCTTCATCCATTTTGAGTAATAGGCAAGCTCCAGTTCAAGACTAAATTATACTCGATACCATATATTAAAACAGCCTCTTTTTTTTTAAAGAAGGTATTTTTTTTAAAAGGTTTTATTTATTTGACAGAGATCACAAGTAGTTAGAGAGGCAGGCAGAGAGAGAGGGAGAGGGAAGCAGGCTCCCTGCTGAGCAGAGAGCCAGATGTGGGACTCGATCCCAGGACCCTGAGATCATGACCTGAGCCGAAGGCAGTGGCTTAACCCACTGAGCCACCCAGGTGCCCCTTAAAACCCATAAGCCTTTTAAGCTTACACCACATCATCCATGTTTATATGATATGTTTATGTCACAGGCTTTCGGACTGAGTCCTGTTTCTCATGGGGTGAGGTAGAAATGTCAGGTACACAGATGAGGAAGCCAAAGCTCAGAGAGAGGAAGGGATTTGGGGTCACACGTGTGTGAGTGCTGGGAGGCATTGTGTGTGAATTAAGTCTTTTACAAGGTCTGAATATCTAATTCCTTCTTGTTCGGTGGACAAATCTCTAGGTAGGGAGGCATGTATATCAAGAAGGCAACTGGTCCTTCAAATCAGGCTGTTGGTGGTAGATGGTGATGGAAAGAGTTCAGATTCCCTTCAATTTGGCCAGTGGGATTCCTGTATCTGGGGGGATTGCCAAAAGTTGGCAAACTCTGTAAAGGGTCAGCTAGTAAATATTTTGGCTCAGTTGGACCCACACCATCTCTTGCAGCTACTCAACTCTGCCAACTGTACTATCAAAGTAGCCACAGATGAGGCACCTGGGGGGTTCAGTCAGTTGAGCGGCCAATTCTTGATTTAGGCTCAGGTCATGATCTTGAGGTCCTAGGATTGAGCTCCACATTATGCTCCATGCTCAGTGTGGAATCTACTTGAGGACTCTTTTCCCTCTCCTTCTGCCCCTCCCCATGCTTGTGTGTGCTCTCTCTAATTAAAAAAATAAATCTTCACCCCAAAAAAGTAGTCATAGGCAATTGGTACTAAGTGGGTGTAGCTAAGCTCCAATAAAACTTTACTTACAAAACAGGTAGCAGGTAGAATTTGGCTGGAGGCCATAGTTTGCTCACCCCTGAGCAAGATGATCCTTTGGTTGTGGGAGGAAAGTATTGAAACTCTTATTTAATTTATCTCATTTTTAAACATTTCTATGTTTTTAATATGTTCCACAATGTACACAATACATTAGCACAGTGATAGAGGAATGTAACTTAGAGATAAATGTGTATCAGTTGTGCAGGCTCAAAACCTTCTTATAGGAAATCATAAATACATCATGGCTGACTTTTAATGAGAAGCTACTTTGTGCTAGATGCTACTCTGGACACTTTACATGGGTTAATGCATTTAATCCTCATAACTACCCTTGAGGAAGGTACTACTTTCCTTCTTGTTTTATGGATAAGGAAACTGAGGCACAGAGGTGATGTTATGTGATCAAAAAGCCACTTTCTTAGGACTGGCAAACCCATGAATGCTGTGGTTCTGAGTTTGGGAGTTTAGATTTGGGGTCAAGGGTATGTACTGTTCTAGAGTGATGTGGAAGTCCAGACGAATAGCTCACGAACACCAACTCCATGTCAGATGATACGTTGGAGCTACACATAAGCAAACTCATCTAAGTATGCACCATGACAATATGATATTCCCTAACTCCACAAAAGCCATGTGAAGAAGATATTATTTTTTCTACTTTATAGATGAGGAAGCTCAGGTTCAGGGAGAAGAAGAGCTGACTCAAGATTCCATTGCTAGCAGGTAAAGGGGCTCAGCCAGGATTGAAACCCAACTTTACCTAGCTCTCCATAGTTGATGGGTGGCTAGCTCACTGCCTCTTGGGACACTCCTCATGCCCTCCAACCTGAGACATTCTCAGGGAGCTGGTGTCCCACAGAGTCCACAAAGTCTGTGCTCTCTCAGTCCTTGGTGGGAGGAGGTCCCCCAACAATAGATAGTTCCATCTTGCCCTGGACTTCCTTAAGAAAAGCTTAGTTCCTCCCTAGGAATGGAGGACTGAGCCTGGATGCAGAAGCACAAGATCAAGAACAAGCCAGATAGGGTTTGAATTGCAGTTCCAAGTCTTGACCACTGAATTAAGAAGAAAAGGACAGAAAGAAAGAAGGAAGGAAAAAAGTGAGGGAGGATGGCAGGAAGGCAGGAGTGGTGCAGAGTGGCACTGAGCAAGTTACTCTCTGGGCTTCTGTTGCATTATCTAGGGATTGGAGATGACAACCATCTGGAGTATTGAATGATGCCATGTATGCCAAATGGGTGCTCTACACCTTATACAGGGCAGGAGGCTTTCTTTCCTTTTCAGAACATTTCTCACACTGATTCTGGCGCTTAGGTGAGACAACACAGAGCCTTTCCCTCACCCAGGTGGTGGAGGAGTCTTAGAGAACAAGGGTCTACCTGGGTCCCTGGGGTGAGAGGTTGGTTGGGGTCTGCTGGGACAGCCCAGCTGTCCTCTCTCCTGACCCCGAATTTCTGCCCCTGAATGTAAAGTTCTGGGCTATAGCTAACACAGCCTAAGACTGTCCTTTGCCCAGTACCATAGGCTGACCCCAAGGCCCAGGGCAAACCTCTGGTTCTGTGGCCAAGGGAGGGTGAGACTTACATAATGATGGTGGGTATCTGCTGAGACACCTCCTGACCCTGTGGTGCTGTTCTTTATTTGACATTTAGTTGTGGTTTTCTGTGTTTGTGACTTTTTAGCTTTTTTCTTTCTATTTCTCCCACCCCTTTCCTCTTTTCCTCCCTTCTCTCCTTTCTTCCTTCTCTTCCTCCCTCCCTTCCCTTCTTATCCTTCCTCTTTCCCTCTTTCCTTCTCTCTTCTCCCTTCCTTTCCTTCCTTCTCCCCTTCCACCCTCCTTCCCCCCTTCCTTCCTTTCTTCCTTCCTCCCTTCCATCTTTACTTCTTCCCTTCCTTCTTTCCTCATTTCCCCCTACCTCTCTTCCTTCCTTCCCTCCTTCTTGAATGCAGCAAAAGCCATTTGAGCCATAACTCTGCCCTAGACTGGGAACAACAGCACATTCTGCTCTAGGATTTTGAGATGAGAAGGGGAAATGAATGCGGGCGGGGGAAGGGGAAGAGGAACATGGATAGAGGTACAGGTGAAGAAGGAAGAAAGGAAGAGGAAGAAGACGGGAGAATCAGGAAAGGCTGGAGGTAAGGGCAGGAAAGAGGAAGGGGAGAAAGGGCATGGCAGGGAAGGGGGAGGAGGAAGAGGAGGAGCAGGAGGAGGAGGAGGAGACAGAAGAAGAAAGCAGGCCTCTGGGACGCTTTCTGAGACCCTTTGGGCAGTTGTGCTTGTGTGGAACTGGCGGAGGTACCTAGGCCCAAGTCTTGCCAAGGGGAGCTCGAGAATAAATACCTCTGGGTAGGAGCAGATATCTGTAAACACAGCTGAGGAATTGAAAGTCAGGTTCTTCAAGGGTATCGACTTGTCAAAATCACACCACAGCTGCGGATTAAAAAAAAAAAGAAGAAGAACAACAACAACAACAACAACAAAAAACAAAACAAAACAAAACAAAACACAGGAACAACAAAGTCAGTGTGAGTGCTGGGAACAAAGCAGTGTGCCTTCACTGCTGAGCCTAGGCAGAAACCTGGGCAGACCAGGCCCTACAGGGAGCTTCATTCCAGAATGGAGGGGCCAGCTGGGATCTCCTCTTCCATTTTAAAGAAGGTACTGGCTCAGAAAAAGCTTTTGCAAGCCAGCCCAGAAGCCAGGTTAAGACAGCTCTGCTTGCCCTGTCACATAGGGCCAGTGGAGAGTGCCTGTGGGGCTCTGAAGAGAGCCAGATGGCAGGAGAAAAGGTCTGGGGTATCTTGCAGCCTGTCTCTCATCAACAGCTGGGAGGATTCCAGGGATCTGAGGGGGGCACGTTCTCCAGAAAGACTCTTAGCATGGGACAGGGGGTGGGAGGGCATTCCCTAGGCCAGAAACTGCTGCAGATTTTGCGGTGCTCAGGAAAGAGTAGCTACCATTAACTGAATGCCTCCTCTGTGCCAGACACTTTGGACAAAAAAGCCTCACAACCACCTTGTGATGTAGCTACTATCTTTATCCCCATTTTACAATAAAAATATATGAAACTCTGAGAAGTAAAGTAACTTGTCTAGGATCACCTAGCTCGTAAGCGGTACAGCTGAGATTTGATGGCAGGTCTATCTGACTCCAAAGCCTCTGAACTTCCTGCCGCACCACCATGGCATGGATGGCTCAGATGTAACCTTGACCTCGAGTCACTGAATTTATTTCCAAATCCTGCACCCCAGAAATACCTGATTCGTCAAGACTTGAGATCCTGGCTACGCCTCTGTAGGCCATGATCAATGTTCCTAAGCACTTCCATTTCAATTGCAATAATCTATAAAATATTCATTAAATGGAGAATTAAGTTAAGCTAGGATTTTCCTTTTTCTTTATCCCATAGAATCCTTTCCTACAAGGCCAACCACAGAGTTTGGGCAACATAGCTCTAAGTAATTACTGGGCCATTCTGGACAACAAATTTCAGGCAGTATAAGCCTCCGACTCACAGGCTGACAACTGACAAGCTGACAAGTTTGAGTCCCTGAACACGTGGAGACCCTCCCTCAGGCCCCAAGGGCACACTGATGGGTTCAACCGCAAGATGGATGCCTCCACTAGCATCTCTCAACATGCCAAGTTCAAAACCTGGAAGGAGACAGATCACTCTTAGAATCTAGAGTAACTAAGCCATGGACAACACAGACTGTTTGTATGTACACAGAAAATGCTGTCGTTATCATGTTACCATTTTAGAGAGAAAATGAAATCATTAAAACATGGATCACCAAATTAAAAACAATAATAAATATGGCAGCTGGAGAGTCATCTGAGTTCAATGTGTCACATCCAATGTGAACTCTTAGAAAGTCATAGGCAAGATCTCAAGCTCCCTGAAGCATATTTCCCTTACCCATTGCATGGGAACGGTAATACCTACCTGTAGCACATAGTAGGTGCTCAAGAAATGATGGTTCTTTTATTTCCACCCCCTACCCCCACTTCCAGAGATAAAATTTAGCATTTGAGGATGAGCATGAGTCGTGGAGTCAGACAGACCTTATTAGCAAGTTATTTCATGTCTCTGAGCCTCAGTTTCCTTAGCCATAAAGTGGGGATAAGGAGACTTACCTCACGGGGTTTATGTGAGGATTTCATGAGAAAAACATGTACAGCTTCTTCTTCAGTGCATGGCACATAGCAGGTAGGTACTTAAAGGGAACTCTGATTCACGATTATAATTGGTTGGCCACTGACAATATAGAAACTTTAGGACGTTTATGCTCCCTTGGAGCAGATAATCTCCCCCACTGGGAAGAGATAATTTGCCACCAGTAAAATGCACAGCTCTGACAGTAGCTGCATTTCTGTTCTCTGTCCCTAAGCTTGGGGCTGCACCAGGCACTTGAAGGTAAGTGGTACCAAGAAAGGCAATGCAAGAAGCTACAGGCTCCATAAACCCTTCATTCTTGCCTGCACATGAGAAGCCAGAGGGTTGGTGGGTTTGGAATGCTTACGATATTCAAGATGGCACCCAGGAAGTTAATCAAGATGGATGCAAAGATGATGACGTTCCGGGCTAAATAGGTCTCATTAATCCAACAGCAAGTTTTCCGGAGGACGAGGGGCAAACACTTATAATCCTCTGCCGTGGTGATGAGGACGAGAGCCGAATGCAGCATAATCAGGATGGAAAACTGGATGGCCATTGGCATCACCCTGCAGGGAAACCCAGAATGTTGGGTCACATGGCATCATTCATGACTGCCCTTCCCCACCTCCGGAACCCAATAATTCTCTAAAGCTCTGTTTGTTCAAGAAAAATCAGCAGGAGACCTTTTCTGAATTATATCCATCCCTAGAATATTCTATCAAGAAACTTTGAAATGACCATCAAATTTGGCTTTATTTATTGTTCCTGTCCACCCCCCCCCCCTTCTTTTTTGCTTCCTATATCATTATCTTTCTCACTAGGCAACTCTGCGAAGGCAACAAACCACTGGAATTTTATCTCAATATCCCCACTGTGGGAGGGACCCACATGCCCTTTCTCCTTTGAGGGGGCTTTTATGAAACACTTTACCTCTTGGTCTACTCTGATGCCAAGATCTGAATTTGGCACCTGTTTCAAGTTGCTCAGTATGGTTAGTGATTACCAAGATTTGCAGGGAATATACCATGTGCCATTTGAGATGGGTAAGGGTGCAATTTGAGTTGTAGGTAAGGAGAACTCATCCTTGCCCAAGGCTTCAACATTGTTCCCAAGTACACATCTTGAGCTTCAAGGTCTCACCAAAGCTCTGTCCCATGGTAGACCCTGTCTATGGACATTTCTGTTGGGTATCAGGTTGTTTCCAGCAACTTGGTGATCTCAAAGCCCATCTCTGGAGGCATCTTTGACTGCTTCCTCTCCTTACCAACCAACCTCTCAGCAGGCATATTTCTTCTCCTGGGACTTCATCCTTCATTCTCTGTTCTCTGTCTAGCCATTTGTGTCTCACTTCTCTACCTTTCTTTCGCCAGCCAACTGTTGCACATTGAAGGGTACCTGTGGCTCCTCCATCTCTACAGTGAAGTCCATCCATTTGGCTTCAGCATCTTCCAGTGGTCGATGCTCAACCAACATGCACTTAGTGAATGAAGTTAGACCCAACTTCTAACAATGCCTTACTATCCTTCTGCCTGGATTTCCCCATGTTTATTATTAATGACATTAGTGTCACTAATACTCAGAGCTCTGACTATGTGCTAGACCCAACGCTAAGCACTTTATATAATAGCTGATTTCTATTCCTTGCTACAGACTTAGAAGTCTCTTGATCTCTCTTTTTTCAGGTGAAGATTTAAGGTTCAGAGAAAAGCAACTTCCCAGAGGTCACTGAGTTGGTTAATGTTAGAGCTAGGATTTAAAGTCCACCGTGTCATTGATGAGTGACAGACCTCCCATGTGTGCTCTCATGTCATCTTTTTGGGGATTCTGTGGTGTCATTTACTTATTCATTCAATAATGTTCTTCCCAGATACAGTGGTAGGCACCAGGACACATCTTCCCCATCCTCTTCTAGAGGAGAATATGGACATATACATGATGAACTATTGGAGAATATGCTATGATCTATAAAAGAGTTTGAGCAACCATCATTTAGAAAACAGGAAAAGGAATCAAGGGAGGCTTCACAAAAGGGGTGCCATTTGGGTCAGGACTTGGAGGTCGAAGAGAGGGTTTTAGGGAAGGAAAAGCCAGGAGCAGGAGAGTAAGAGTGATCCGCATGTTTAGAACTTCCACTAACCCAGGTGGTGAGGCTGTGGGGCTGGGGAGTCCCGGGCTCTCATACATGCTGTGTAGAAAGTTCCACATGGAGGCGATACACAGATATCCCAAATGTGTGTTATCAGGAAGGACACGGTCATATCTGTGTATCTGAAGGATAACCGTGGTGGGAGGTGAAGGATGGAGTGAAGAGAAGAGAAAGAATTTGGCAGAGGTTTAGATAGTTGGGGCCCAAGTTACCAAGGGAAGGACATAAGGTAGCAGCATGGATAACTGGGAGGTTCAGGGAAAGACAAAGCGTTAATCTTAGTAAGTGTTTTCTGTATGTGTTTGGAGGTGTGTGGCAGAGTGACGTCATTAAGGGTGACACTCATGTTTTTACCATCTGAACTGGTAAATGCAGGAAGAGAAGCTGGACCATAGAGTATAAGGATGATGAATTTGATTTGGGACAAGCTGAATTTCTGGTGCTTGTGGATCATCCACCTAGAGACATGCAGAGAGCTAGGCAGTTGGAGGGGTGGTTGTGGAACTCTGGGTCTGGAGTGAACAGGTGCTGGTCGAAGATCTGAGAATGGAGGAGCTTGCCCAAGGAGACTAAGAAGTAAAGGCACCACAGATAAAACTATAGAAGTTGATGGGCTGGAAGGAGAGAAAGCAGCAAAAGGAATTTAGGAAATGTAGTCAAATGAGCTGGAGAGAAGGAGTGCATGGCATCAGGATAGCCAGGAGGTAAGACATTTGCAAGGGTGGGGCTGGGTAACTAAGACTGGCAAATCCCTTTGCATGCTCACGCATCACAAAGGCTGTAAATTCACTCTCCCCACAGCCCCAGGTTTTATTGTTGAAGGTTTTATATTTCCTTTTTTAAATTAAAAAAAATACTTGCACAGTTTTGGTTTTATAGATCACCTTGACAGAAAGTCTCTGCAGGAGTTCTAGGTAAGAACAGAAGGTCTGTGCAGCAGTGGGTTCCCAGAGGGCTCTGGGCAGATAGGAAACTTCCCCCCAAACAGGCTGGAAAAACATTCCTGGAACAGCACACCATTATTCTGGGGCATCCAGGGGAGGCAAATGAAGGAGGATCGCTTTTGTCAGACAGTCCCTGGAGAAAAGGGGCCAATTTCGAGGCTTATGCCTCTCAATACTGTGAGGCAGCCCCCAGGAATATGAATGCTTTGTTTCAAAGTGTGAGGCAGAAGCAAAGCTGGCAAAGAGGATGTTGAGAGCCACTCAGCAGGAGCCTCAGACTCTTCTGTGGCCCCCCACTGCCATCCACATAGTCTATGACCTCCATGGACCTCCATGGTGATGTGCAGGAATGGGCGCGGGGGGGGGGTGCTGTTCTGGGCTTCCCCTATAGCCCCTCTGCCCTCCACGAGCAACACTCAGGCATGTGCCCTGTGCTTCTCCTTCTGTGCTCTCTCTTGGGGAAATGTCTTGTTCATCCTCAAGGCTGTTTTTCCCTGGGTTCTACCATGACACCTGCTATAGAGTTGAGCACACAGACAGTGCTCAATAAATGCTCACTGACTTACACTTTTTGTGGGGAGAGAAGATGCTCTTCTTCCCCTCACCAGCTTTCATAGGGATAGAGATTCTCAGTCGCCCTCCAGCCCTTCCTGCCTCCAGGAGGAGTCTGCCACCTATCCGGAATGTTCAGGGGACCTGGTTCTTCCTGGAAGGCAGGGCCAGTGTTAAAGCTCAATGCTTATGTGAAGTTCAGCTGCTGGCCCTTCTGTCCTTGTAGATCCACTAAGATGGTTGGGAAGCCAGAGCCAGGTGTCCCTAGGAAGTACCAACAGGCAACTACCCAGATTTTCTTCATTCCTTTGGTGCTGGGGGTGAGGGGTCTTTCTCATTTTTGCAGCAGTGAGACCCACACTGGTGTGGGAAGGCAGAGTAGGGGACACAAGCAGAGATCCAGGAGATTCAGAATGGACACCATGTGGTCTCTTGACATCAACCACATTCTGTATACCACTATTTACCATAAGTTTTGCACAGGCAAAGCGAGCATTTGCTTGGCAGTTTACCCAGCTGACCCTTCGTTGCCCATTTGAGCTATTGTGCTTTTGGGTCGACTTCTAGTGGGGTGTTTTGGTATGCTGGAGGGCTGTGAGTGGGACTAGTACTCAGAACCCACCTTTGCTCCTAACACCATTTTAAGTGATGAGCACTTCTTTCTGGGTTTACTGAAACAAAGGAAAGGGAGGAGCTATGGGCTGAGGGCTTGTGTTTCCTCAAATTTGGATACTGAATTGTAATGCACAATGTGGTGGTATTTGGAGGTAGGGCATTGGGGAGGCAATGAGGTCAGGAGCGTGGAGCCCTCATGAATGGGGCCAGTGCCTTCGTAAGAGAGGTTCCCCCTACCCCCAAGAGCTCCCTGGCCCTGACCTCCATATGAGGGCACATGTACAAGCTAGGCAGAGAGGGTTCTCACTAGACACTGAATGTGCCAGTGCCTTGATCTTGGACTTCCAGCCTCCAGAACTGTGAGAACCATGTGAGCTGTTTATAAGCCTGCAGTCTGTAGTATTTTGTAACAGCAGCCTGAAGGAGCTGAGGCAGGAGGTAAAAGGCTGGCATGTGGGTTAGTGAGTGGCAAGAGCGAACAAAACCCTAGGTGTGTAAACCCATAGCTCCAAAACCTCACCAGTGGTACAGCCTTGGGCAAGGTAACTAACTCTTCTGAATATCATATTTTTAATCTGCAAAACCAGAATCGTTAAGCCCACCTTTTAAGAAGGCTCTTAGGTTAAAATAATAAGGCAGTATGCTTAGCACATAAGATGAACTCAAAGAAACATTACTTCTCTATTCACGGTGGAATCCAGAAAACCAAACGCATTTCCAAAATTGATGGAAAGAGTATTAATTACAAGATGCAAGGTGCTGGCACTGCCTATAAAATTCCTCTAAGAATCTCTGCAGCAGCTCCTAGCTCCTCGGCGCTCATCTCCTTCTGCACACATAAACATTGTAGCAACCAATTATAGTTTTTTAATCTAATTATAGAACTACTCAGGCGTCCAGGGATTCTGAATTTGCTTTGCATTGTTGGTGTCCATAAGAGGCAAGGAAACCTCTCATTTCTGAAATCGAGTCTGAAAGAAATGACAAGGGATTTGCAAACAGCTCTCTCCAAATCATTTCTAGACATTAAGTTCTAATTGCTCTCCATAGCCCATCTTTAAAACAGAGTCGGGGTTGGTATCACGACTGGGTGTTTGCTGGGAAGGCGGGGATCAATGGGGATGAGTGAACAGCCTCTAGCAGCTTGGGGTGCAACAGGAAACAGAAAGTCGGGTCATACCCAAAGATGACATTTATATCACTGTTCAGAATCTGCAAAGAGCCTGAGTCTAATAGTACATCTGAGTCCCATAGCAACACTGAGAGGTAGGTATTCTTAGCCACTTCAACAGATGAAAACACTAAGGCT